AAATTTATTTCACTGTTAGACAGCGACACCTGTAACTGTAACCATTCTTTTTCATTGAAATTCGTAAGATGATGGAAGTAGTGGCAATATGTAGCCACAAAATTACTATACATTATTTTATGATGAGTTGGCTTTATTTTTCATGAAAATGTATATGTATGTTTTGAACCATATTTTTGTTATATTACTTTTGAAGTATGATGTTTCAATATGAAAACATGTAAATAAATTGAAAATTACACTTATCTAACAATTAGATTTGAATTTAACTTACGCCAGTTATATTGTTCTAAATTTATATACCTTACCCGTATTTAGTGTTTTGATTTTCTTATTTAATACACATGTTATTCATCTGGATTAAAAACAATGATATAATGGACTCGTTTAGATGTTTGCGGATTGATGTTAAACTACCATATTAATTAGATTTTATTTAGAATTTTGACACCGTACGTTAAGACCGTGAAATTGCTTGTTTGGTTAAAAATAATTATTTGATAAACTTCTTGAGCCCAAAATGTTAATTGAGCCGCATTTTGACAAGAGAATAAAATAACACAACAATATATAATTTCCAAACACTCATCTATAAATGGTTAATATAATTTGTGAGTTAAATCATCTATCCACTAATACAATTAGTTATCCGTCAGTTAGTAATCATACGTGTAAAATTCCAATATAAGGCCTAAAGTTTTGGAATTTTGTTGAATTAGGGTTAATTTTAAGTTATTTTTAATTTAAGTCCTACTCTTGTATTTTCCTTCTCAAATTAAAACCTCAACTATTTTTATTTTCAACATAATTATATGAACCAAAATATTATACTACATATCTACAACCAAAAATTATTAAATATTTTTAGTAAAATCAACGTAATGACAATTCAACCCATATAACATACATATATATATATATATATATAATTTAAAAGGGAAAATAATTGAAAAGTAAATTTTGAAAAAAAAATACATATTTTAAATATTAGTTGGATTGATAATCTATATGTTCAATTAAAATGAGGAAATAATATTTAAATTCGCAATTCATTTTTTATTTATTTTGAACTTCTAAAATTAAATTTGTTAAACTTTTATATAAAAGATAACTCATATGGGTTAATTTTCTCATTAAGATATTTATTATTATTTATTATACATATGTGTAATATAAATTATAAAAAATTTATATTTTGATTCACCAATGTTAAAAAATAAAATTAGTTGGCGTCTTAAATTAAAAATTAATTCAAGATTTAAATAATCGAGGCAAGAGGGTGGAGTCCCTTGCAATCCCATGTAGATAAAAACACACCATAAGAGGATGAGCCTAGGTACACCATAGTGAAGTTTCATCCCAAGATAAATTGGTAATGGGAAGAGTTGTCCACTAAACATATAAGCTAGGTCCAATTTTTCTATAGAATCAATGTGGGACAACGTAGAAGTGATACTCCAACAATTGAAATATAAAGTGGAAAGCTTAAGTTTAAAAAGGTTAAAATTAGATCGTATGACACAATTCCAAAAAATTGTCCATTCAAACAGTTAGTTTACTGAAATATTTTCTGCTCATATCAATGGATACAACATAAAAAGGTTGCATTTGTGTTCCACTTTTTTGGTTCCATGATTTATATTTGCCTCATTGCATGATTTTTTTTTTATTGCAATTTTAATCTAGTAATTTTTTGCTTGGGTATTTTTGTGACTAAAACAATAATAACTGGGTCTTAGCATAAAATATGTTTTCAAATTATGGAAACCAAAAATATCATGCCATCAATGCTGTTGGGGACCGAAAGTATCAATATTAAAATGGAAATGCAACTCGATAGTTGGCTATCATGACATGAATTTATTTTCGTCCAACGGCAGCCAAATTTACTAATTTAGTATAATCGCTTATGAATTTGTTTCAAATTTGCATCAAAAAT